GAACGAATGAATAAACGAATAGTAAAATGTATGTAAACATGTATTGACATGGCTTCTTCTCTCTTTGATACTTGACTGATTTGATTATTTAATTTCTGTACCACTTAACATATTAACAATATATCTAAGCGTTGTACAAAAAATCTGATATTCACGCCCCAGCAACCTTTGTAATAGCTTATCCCCCAGTTTGGTTTGGTTCAATATAAATCAGGACAGGAACAGGCTCTAGCATGTAGGCTGGATCCTGATCTGCCTCACCCACCATAGGCCATTTAAAAGGCATCAAAATTGAAGCCACGAGGAGCATACTTTAAGGCTCCCAGATGTTCCTTTGCAGCTGCATCTTTCTTCTTTACCTTTCCCACACTGGGTATCAGCAGTGCCAGAATTATCTTCCACTGGCTCTACATTTATATTCTTGTCTGTGCACCTTCTGGACAAAGTGTGGATTCTAAATGTAACCATATAATTAGGGAGCACTAGAGGCAACCTAGCAAGGTCTCTTTGGGGCATTGAAGATAGCAAAATGAAGAAAAGCCCTATGGAATATGTCAAATGTTTTCTGTGTTTATATGCTGAGCTTTCCCCTGAGCAGCGGAAGAGTCTTGTGGTACTGTAAAAAACAAAACACATCTGTAATTTCAGTATTCCTAAACGTATGAATGCAGTCATAAATACAGCATCTATCAGTATAAAGAGAAGGAGGGAATGTTGAACAAAGTTCTGTTTCCCCAAAATTGGTCACTAATATATTATCACTACTTGCTTGCAGAGTGGTCTGCTCAATAAACATGATCAGTCATGGTTGCATCAGGATAATTTCCCACCTGTGCAAATGACTGTCTAGGATTGCAGCTTGACCTACAACAGAGGGGAGATGGGTGTATCTTAGCACCAGTTTCAGAACAAATGAATTTAATATGTACTAGGAATATTTAACTGTCTATGGAAAAGGGGGAGGAGAGAGGGACCCATAATATTAGAAAATGTGTAATTATGATGTAGTGTGCGCAAATACTTCATCTGCTCCCACCGCAACGCCAGGCTTGTTTTTCCCCAAACTGAAATAATTTCTTCATGCTTGCAAGGAATTTAAGCTTTTTCTCAGCCCATATTCCGCTTTCTCAAGGCAGAAGCTGGGGGTCACATGTTAAAACTGAATACTGTATGAAAAGTTAACAAACGGCAAAGTCTTTAAAAAAAAATAATCTCTTGGCTTTTGCAGGTTCAGCACCTGAAAATATTTTGATTTCAAGCCTTGTCAGCTCTTGCAATTAATTAAAAAATACACCTCTCTGGGTATAACACTTAAAACCGCTGGTTATTTTTCCAAGCTCTGTCAGCATTCAAATAGTAATTTACAACCCAGCTCTCCAAGCAGATGTCTTTTTCTGCGGATCTTGTTTACGGAGAAGTACCTGTGGAAGATATCTAATGGGACGCAGTTCTAGTGCAAGTGTTTAATTGCTCTTGCTTCCAAAGTGATGAGCTGGCAGCTTTAAGTTATGGAAGGTGGGGGCAAAGAACCTAGACTTAAAAAGATTGCCCTCTAGTGAGAGGAGATGGACTTTCCTTTCGGGCCGTTTATAATAGAAAGAAATGTGATTTGTAACAGTGATAACATATGTATTCTGGGCTGAGTATGCAGCTTTTCAGAATCTACGGTGATCATGATTTCATTAACGAAATAGTTGTAACTAGCTCAGTAAGGAACTACTGAAGAAAGTATGAAAGGTCATCATTGTCTTACCTGTTAGTGTAATTTAATAGTCACTCCAAGACTTCTGGCTTCTGGTCTGGTTGTTACATGGGCATCACTATGCTTATGCAGAGTGTGGCAATTTGTTGAGCATTTGCTTGCATTCTTCCAATCTAGACTCATGGAATTATTGCTCTTTAAGTGACCCTTATATTGAATATCAGTCATTGCTTTCAGTTCATACTTCTCTCTTTTTATATGAGAAGACAAGGGGAGTGTGATGTTGAAGGCTCGGGGAATCAAAAAACACTAGCAAGACCAGTGGACCTTGATTTGCATTTATTTTATCCCAGGATAATTAAACAGTAGAAGATTCGTAGTGATGGTCGTGGCTCTCGCTTCGACACATATGCTTTGCCTATCAAAGTGTGTAGAATCAGCCTATTTTGTGCATGTACGCCGCTACTGAAGTGTAGCTTTGACATACAGTGGTACCTCAGGTTACATACGCTTCAGGTTACAGACTCCGCTAACCCAGAAATAGTGCTTCAGGTTAAGAACGTTGCTTCAGGATGAGAACAGAAATTGTGCTCCGGCGGCACAGTGGCAGTAGGAGGCCCCATTAGCTAAAGTGGTGCTTCAGGTTAAGAACAGTTTCAGGTTAATTACGGACCTCCGGAATGAATTAAGTACTTAACCAGAGGTACCACTGTATTATACAATGCTGACTGTCTTTTACCAACGCAGTGAGGTGAGCCTTTAATTCTATGCAGCCTTATCCCATTGAACTATTTCCAAGTTAATATGTATGGCAGAGGTGCAGAACCTCAAACCTGGAGGTCAGATGTGACCCTCAGTACTCTCTGTCCAGCCATCAGGACTCTTCCTAGGCCATCCTGTTAGGAGCGTCCTACTCTCGTGTAGGACCTTGGTAGAGACACATGTCCAATGGGGATGTTATCTCCCTCCTGGTCTGACGTTCGGGAGCTCCAAAAGCTTTCTTCTGCCCGAACATCACAGCGACTGATGCCTTGGAGACATCAGCACACTTAGGGATCCGCAGAGTATTCACAGTTTGCGTAACAGAACCAATAGCACAGCATTTTGGCTAATCTACTTTATTTACATATAGTAAACTCGGAGCATTCTGACTTGGCTCCTGCCTCTTTCTCATCAGACAGCAAAAAGGTCGAACAAAGGACAATAGTCCCACTTCACGGAACACAGTAACACAAACATCCTGTCTCCATCACTTCCCACACTGTGGAATGAAAACATACACCATCATGTGATAGACAACAATCCCATGACTGCAGACACGGGCAATGAATCTCCAACACACCATTCATCAGCTTGGTGCTTTGAACTACAACTTATGCTTTGAACAACAACTCTCATCAACTGCACAGGCTGATGGTAGTCCAAAACACCTGGAGGGCATCAGTTTGGGGAAGGATACCCTAGGCTGGACCACCCACTTCCCCAGGCCACTTCCTCTCACTGGCCCATGCCCTCCCTGAATGCTTTAGTTTGGGTGGAATTTGTCTTGGAACTGTGATGATGCCTCTTGTTTGGCTAGGTAGAGGGTGGAATTGTGTGTGCGTAAACCTTTGACTTCTGCATGGCTGGAATGTAGCCCACTGCACAAAAATAAGAGCCTCATCCATTGCTCTGCCCACTTTTGCCCCACTTTTGCCTCTTACTCTATCCTCCCCTGGCATGTGCCCCCCCCAATAAGGTCACCTATGAAAGAACGCTGCTAAGAAAACAAAACCCACCAATGATGTACAAGATTTTGCTTTATGTTATTTGCACTTAGGTTCCTGTTGAAATAAACAGGATATGTCAACCATGACTTTATATCCCATTTATTTCAGCGGGAATGAAATGGAAATAATTTAGGGCCAGACCAGGCACGGAGCTATTGACATTTCCCCCCACCCTAGGGTGAGCTTGATTAATTTTATTATTTAGACAGTATCAGGTGCGAGGATCCACAAACTGGATTGGGACCGTGAAGTGGGCAAATAACAGGACTATAATCCTTTGGCCATACCATGGTCCTGATCCAAACTGAGGAACCACGAACCTGCTGTTTAACATGGGAAGAAGGTTTCCTCTAGCCACAAAAAATCATATTGCTTGGATATGATTAGGAGGAAGTCCAAATGTTCTCTGCATTGTTGAGGTATGTTCTAGTGCAAACATTTTCAGTTTTTAGTTATACACAGGGGTGTGGTTTGCGACCCACTGCAGCACGAGATTAGGGCACAATTACTGCCCATGCCATTCTGTCTACAGGAACATATATAACATAGCAGGATATGAGCAGGAAATTGTGTATGAAGTTTATGTGGTCCTCTTTTTTACCTAGACTGAGTCTTCTGTAATGGATGGACATTTTAACAGTTGCTAAATTTAGTTATGACTGCATTTGGCTATCTAGTGGTAATATCAGATGTATTCAGGATAATTTAATATTCCACAGACTGCGAAAGAATTACATTTGTTCCTTTGGGTAAAGCAAGGTTGCATGATTATAGTATACATTGGTTCGGGTAACCATAAAAAAAGATAAAATTATACCAAATTTTATTCAGCTCATCTCTCTTGATTGAATAAATTATATGTATTGTTTTCTGTTTAAGCTTACAGTGATTTGGAAGATGAGAGACTCAACTGAAATACAGTATGTCACGCAAGACCCTGTATTGACATCTTTTTCATAAAACCTAATATCAACATATGAAAGGGGAATTATTTCAGAAATGTTCTTATGGTAATTGTGTTTCATACAAACAGATAAATCATGCAGATAGGTCACTGCCTACATTCAAGTTAAGTACAACTAGGAGCTTGTCAGTATAAATCATATACTATTTTCCCCAAGTGCTAATGGAAATGGGCTCGATAACTGAGAATGCATAAGCAATTCTTGTAAATAAGCATTAGTTGTTTGCGCTTAGAGGTATGGGGACGGGGGAGTGAATAATTTAAACGTCTTCAACAATTTCTTAGATCAGAACTTCCGGGTTAGCGCCATCGCCGAATGGCGGACTCCCTCCGAGCTCCGGAGGGAGTCTGCTCGGCAGGGGCTGGGTCCTACCGCGCCGGCGACGCGGGGACCCTTAAAAACCACGGGCACGGAGTCCGTGGACATGGGTGACTCGGCTTGCACCATTAGCGCCCTCCCGACTCGTGAAGGAGCCTTATTAAAGGCTTCGGATCGGGTGCCGGGGAGTGGCGTGGTGCTTTGAGTCCACTGCTTCCCTGCCGAGCGCAGCCGCATGCCATTCGGCGGAGAGCGCTGACTTCTTCTATTGAAAATTTGGACTATTAACAACAACCCGTGAGTAATTGGGAAACCGGGTTCAAAATTTTGGATTTGGCACGAGCGGGGGCGATTTAAAAAGGAAGTCAATCCCCCCCCCTATTGTAAACATTCCAAAACAAGGACTGGATAACCAAGGTCCAAAGGGAAGTATGTCTTTGATAAAAATCATTAATTTCACGATGGGAAATTATAAGAAATGTGCTGGAGGAGAAGAGTGGAGGGTGAGAAGAAAAATGCAACCCCCCCCCTGGGAACCGGGGCGATTCGTGGAGCTTGGTGAAGAGAGACGGAGACTTTGACAGCTGTCAAAGTGGCTGTCAAAGCTGGAGAATATAAAGAGGACTTTACGAGGACCTTGCTGGTTAATTTTGTTACAATTTGCTATAATATGGATATAAACTGTTGGAAAATAAGCAACAATTTGACTTTTGGATTAGAGGATACAAAGTTATTACAATCCCCTAGAGGGGTTTCGGGATACTACAAGAACGGTCGTAAGTGGAAAAATACCCTGGGATTCGCACAGGATTTGTTATCTTCTGGGAAAGCTGCAAAACTGAAAGAATATTTTGTCTACAGAGGAAGACAATGGAATTTTTATTGAAGAAAGAAAGGGACTGGACGTAAGTTTTTGTTCCTGAATAACAAACCTCTGCAGAGACACTAGATTTCTGAATTAGAAAGTTTTAGCAGCTGAACAGGACAAGAAACCTGAGAAAGTGAGGAATAAGAAGAATAAAGGACTGATTACGACACGGAAAGAACAACGGGAGGAGTGGTAAAGATCAAGGAAATTAAAGGCCTTTGTTAGATTGGACATTTGAAGTCAAATATTATTTAAATTAATAAACTAAAAGAGAACCGGCAAGATGGAATCGGGAGAAACCTGATCATGAAATGAGACTTCCAAGCTGATAACGTATAGACTGATGGACATGGGGAATTCAAACCGGGAAGGGGGGAGATTTGAAATCCAAAGGCTGTGTAACTATTTTTGAATTTTCCTATATCTCTTATTTTCTATTTCTTTATATAACTTACGCATGTTATTTTACTATGATCGGACGTGTTTAAAAAAAAGGGAATTTGTGGAAGGAACTGGGGTGGATCTTGGGGAAAATCTTTTCTCTTTTTCTGTTAATGATGTGGGACGGTGGTAAGATTTGTACAATTCAATCTGGATAGTGGGTTAAACAAATTAAGCTTTAAATTGGGAGTGAGAGCTTGTAGAACCAAATTAAGGAAAGGGGAATACAATTGGGGGGGGGAGGGGGGGAGTCCCAGAAAGTAGGGAATGAAAGTAAGGTTTTTAAATATCTTTTTTTCTTTTGTCTTTTTTCTTTGTATTTTTATATTTTTGGAAACTTTAATAAATATGATTTAAAAAAAAAAAAAAAACAATTTCTTAGATCATTGGCTAGTATTCTTGAGGCTTCAATAACAAATGCATTCTAAATAGTATAGAAATTAGTCTTATTTCTGTCTCTTCCATAATGCCTTCTTACTGTGTTTTATTATGGAACACATTTTCCAATTACAGCTAGTCTGATTCTTTCAACATTGCTGTTTTCTACAGAGTTAGCGACTCAGTTCAGCCAAATCCATTCCCCATTTTTAATTTTGAGACCAGGATCATGCCATGGAGTCCCGACTTGATTCCTCTTTCTGTCCTTCACTCAGCTGCCCAGAATCCCCTCTCCTTTGCATAGCTAACTGTAAAATTTGTTTGCCATGATGTTCAAGTCAGAGGGCACTAGAACTGCCCAAAACCATGGTTTGCAAATCTACTTAGTTCCTCACTAAGCTGTGATTGCCAGCAGTCCTGGTTATTTTAAGTCTTAGCCCCAAACTGGCTGTTCCAATGAAGCATAGCTACAACAAACTAGGGAAGGGAGAGGAAGTCCAGGAAAGAAAGAAGGGAAGAATGAGGAGAAGGCAGAGAATGCAAACCTATAGCTGAGAAATAGGATATCTGAATTAAGTTGGTGTCATTCACCAATGACTTCTACCTCCCTCAGTTCCTGAATTGGCATTGCAGGTGCTTTTTCTTTCTATTACTCTATGCATGGAACTGGCTGGATGCGTTTCCTGCTTACATTAGATGCAGTTCCATTCCATTAGATGCAATTCCAATGCTTACATTAGATGCAATTCCAATTTCCACTTAGCTGTGATGCTTCTCTTAATTCTAAGGTGTAGACTTGCCTGAGTCAATGGCCGATATATGTCTCTCCAGGTTCTTGTGCCATTCATATCTTCCAGTGATGCTTCATCTCAGAGCAGGTTTGGAGTCAGTATATAAAAGGAGGCAGAGGGGAACCCAAGCGTGAGCCAAAAGTTTGATCTTCATGCTTTTCAGCTCAAAGTTTGGCATTGCCAGCCCCACCCCCTCAAAGTGTTTTCCTTTTGCAGCTATGGTGTCCAATAAAATAGTTCTTCATCATGCAGAAAAAGTGATGGGGAAACTACATTTTGCAGGGGCAACGAAGCCAGTCCTGGCGCCACAGTGCAACATGCCATTCACTTGAGAGGGGAATGGGAGAGACTTCCCTTCCTTTGCATCTAGCAGGTGGTAAAATGGTGGGAATGGTTGGTTGCATTGTGCTATGGATCGATATTAGAAGTCTGAAATGTTCAGAATTTTAAATATTAATTTTATTAAAAGTGACACAATTCATTAAATTTTTTAATACATTTACATCTGTAAATATGTAGCATCTGTTCAGCTCTGTCAAACACTGTTCCTTTAGGGAATGGCTGAGAAGGAATAATATGTTGGCTTGAATCACAATGAACTTTTTACATTGCATCGCACAAGCTAGATATTTGCACAAAGAGGGCCATTGTATGCACCTGTCTTCTTTCTGGATTTCCTGCTCTCTTCTCATAGACTTCAGGGAACTTCTGCATGCTTTTGGGATGGCTGCCGGATCGAGAGGGAGGAGGTGGTGGTAAAAAGGCAAAAAATATGCCTGTTTGTCTGACTTTACTGAAATAATGTGCAAATAGTGTCATGGACTGAAAAAGATGGCAAAAACAAGACACACATAAAATTATAAATAATGAATGATTTGGATTAGATGATTAATTTTTGCAGGGAGAAAGCACTTGTTAGCTGTTCCATAATTGATCAGATAATCTGGTGCAGTTGGGTCCACAGATGTTCGACATCAAACCCACAACATAAAATAGTAGCTGGTCCATGCTAACTGCTATCTAGACATGCTGTTGTATTTCCGAAACTGCAGTCTTATGAGCAACTGCTTAGTATATTTGGGTGTGGCAGCACAACGACTTGGATGAAACAAGCTGGGTTGTATTGGGACTCCTGTCACACTGCTTAGAGGTGTCTGTGATTTAGCGGTATACAAATTGTTGAAAGAATAAGTAAGCAACACCAAGCTGTGCCCCTGCTCCTTTTGAGGAAGTGCAATCTCTTCCATAACAGGTTGAACATCTGGCCAGGAGAACCAGTCACACTGCCTCATTCTTTTCTGGATTGAGTTTCATTTCATTGGCTCTCATCCAGTCCATTACTGAAGCCAGACACTGGTCCAACACATCCACTGCCACACCTGAAGATGTAAAGGAGAAATAGAGCTGTGTGTCATCTTCATATTGATGACAACACACTCCAAATCTCCAGATGATCCCACTCAGCAGTTTCATCTAGATCTTAAACAGTGTGGGGGATAAGCAACCACTGTGGAACTCCACTGTGGAACTCCAGAGACCAAGCGTCATTCCTCAAGCACTACTTTCTGAAGGCAAGCATCCAGATAGTGCAGGAACCACCACAAAGCACTGCCATTCAATTCCAGATATAAAATGGGCATGCTGGAATTGGAAACCACTAGGCCATTGTTTTCTACCAATGTCAGTGCTTTGTAAACTTTCCAGAACACCTTGTGCTTGCTTTGCCAGCTGTAAAAGCTACAACACTGAATGGAACTACAGAAAGGTGATAATACAGAATTACTACTGCTAAACAACAAATTCCCCAGTTAACTTGATCATCGTTTTATGTTCTGCTCACCTACAAGATACATGAGCACTCCTCCATCTGCTCAACTCAGCTCTGCCAAAAATGGCCAGACTAATCAGACAAGCTTGGCAACGCGTTCTAGAGGTCAATAGACTTTGACACTGCCAGGCCACAGAGGAGAAAAGCTAGCCAAACTCCTTGGTTATTCTCTGCCACTAGCCCCTGTACAATATTACGACTGCTAATGGTAGCACAGTAGATTGCAAAGCGATCTTTCCAAAATACTGGTCATTAGGAGTGCTTAGTAAAGGGTTATACAAAGGAAAATCTTGGCACGTTGGGCTTTTCAAAATCCGCACTACCTCTTCCCTTACCTGACAGGGAGCTAAGTCCACTTGCACTGTATAGCCCTGGAAAACTATATCTCCCAGTCTTCTTGCACCTTCTTGCTATTCTTACAGCATTCCAGGTATCCGGAAAGAGAAAGGGAGAGACCAAGGTAGGAGGCAAAGGCTAATAGGAGGTGCTAATAAGAGTTAGTGGATTGAAATACCTTGCTGCCCTCATATGAACCACTAAGTCAGCTTGGTATAAGGAAAGGGGCAGGGAAGAGTTATGGGATATGTGGAATCATCTCCTCATTCATTCACTTTTTGCAGTGTCTCACAATGGCTCAAAAAGACGCAAGGATTCTTTAGAGCACAAAAAGAAGAGATGGCAAAAAGAGAAAATAATTTAGGGGGAAATGAATGATGGGCGATCCAAAAAGGATTCTCCCATCACTAAGAAGGCCATTAAAAGGTGATACATCTTTGAAAGTGTTAGACAAGGCATTAATAATCCTAATTTGATGAATTGGTGAACTATGTTTGTGTGCATACAAGGTGCCTACAGACTCAATTAGTTCATTATACATTTCTAAAGACTACAGATACACTGACTTCAAACTTTAGGAACACAGAAAACCACAGAAAATGGGCCCTCTACTTCTACATTACAGTAATATGGCTAAAGACAAGCCATTCATCATCATCATCATCATCATCATCATCATCATTTATTATTTATACTCCACCCATCTGGCTGGGTTTCTCCAGCCAATCTGGGCAGCTCCCAACAGAATATTAAAAACACAATAAAACATCAAACATTAAAAACTTCCCTAAACAGGGCTGCCTTCAAATGTCTTCTAAAAGTCAGACAGTTGTTTATTTCCTTGACATCTGAAGGGAGGGTGTTCCACAGGGCGGGCGCCACCACCAAGAAGGCCCTCTGCCTGGTTCCCTGTAACCTCACTTCTCGCAGTGAGGGAACTGCCAGAAGGCCCTCGGTGCTAGATCTCAGTGTCTGAAGACTTTTATAGCAGTTGTTATGGGGTTTTAGGAGACAAGTGAGCCAGAGTTGCAGAGCAACATCTTATGCTCTGGGCAGTTAACCCCTAACACTTCCCTAGAGAGTTGATGTGGTCCAGTGCGGGTGGCGTTGTGGTCTAAACCACTGAGCCTCTTTGGCTTGCTGATTGGAAGGTCAGCAGTTCGGATCCGCACAATGGGATGATCTCCCATTACTCTGTCGCAGTTTCTGTCAACCTAGCAGTTCGAAAGCATACCAGTGCAAGTAAATAAGTAGGTACTGCTGCAGTGGGAGGGTAAAAAGCGTTGTCATGCGCTCTGGCACTCGTCATGGTGTCCCATTGCTGGCCACATGACCAGGAAAGCTGTCTGTGGTCAAACGCTGGCTCCCTTGGCCTGTAGCAAGATGAACGCCGCAACCCCATAGTCGCCTTTGACTGGACTTAACCGTGCAGGGGTCCTTTACCTTTACCTGTTACCCAGTAGAATATTGGGCTTGAACTCAAGAGTCTTGCTTTGTAATCTCTTTTCATGTGGAAGCATAGGTAGTTTTCAGATCCGGCCCTATTTCTAGGTCCCATTTCCCCATCTAAAAATTGAGGATGATGTTCGTCTTACTCACAAGTTTGAACAAAGGTGTTCACACAATAAAAGAACTAGCTATGGCGATAGAGTTTAAAATTATCAATAGTTTAAGATAGCTTCTCTATGCTCGTACACTCAAGTTCTTTTCGACTACGACTCTCAGTGGCCCCAGCCAGCATGGTGAACGGTCAGGAATAATGAGAATTGCATACCAACAAATTTTGGAAGATAGAAAGCTGCATTGTACTGAGTGCAACCACTGGTCCTTCTTGCTCAGCGTTGTCTTCACAGATTGGAATTGGCTTTCAAAGGTTTCAGAAAAGGGGCATTTCCAGTCCTACTGGAAGATGCTGGGGGTGGAAACGAGGACCTTTTCCTTGCAAAGTGCACATTCTACCACTTAGCTACAGACCACCCTCCAGGTTGGGGAAATCTGGATTAAAGAACAGTGATTTAAAAAGAAAATAACTTTTAAATATTAGAAATAGAGAACAATGGAGAATGCCGAACAATTTTTTTAAAAAATGTTATGGCAAAGCCTTTTCTCGAAATGGAAAGCTCCTTTGGATCACACAACTGCCTCTATTTATAATAGCTTCTCTGTCTTTCCATTTGTCTTATCAGGTTACCTTCTAGTATTTATTATAGCCTGTTTTCATATACAATAGATTGCCAGAATCATGATTAAGGAGCTTATTCAAATGCATTAAAAAATGTTTAAATGAAAAAAGAGAGAGAGAGACAGAGAGAAGGACCCAAAGTAGTAATCGCCAAAATTTAATCAAGGATTTAATTTGTACTACAGACCAGCCAAATGGATTTTGCCATTTTCCCTGTGCTGTTTGTACAAGGAAATTAAAAAGTATAAAGAGTCAAAGACTCAGCAGCATAACCCTTGAAGAACATTGCCGCATGCTCACTTATTCTCATTAGCTGTATTATATCAAACTTGCTCCTCAGGGCTTGCAGTTTGCAAAGCCAGACCACAGACGGGTGGAAAAAGAGATGATAGCATTTTTTTTCCCAGTGTCATAAATTATTGCCAGCACATATTGGATGATTTCTCCATGCATTGCTGTAAGCATTCAATGATGGGTTAAGCGTCCCCCTTTTTAATGCCACTTAGTAATAAATGCCCTCATCTTTGCATGTCAGCTTTAGCTAAACTGTAATAACAGAGAGACTAAGGGACTCTCCTGGCTTGAAATGTGGGTGGGTGGGGATTTACCACAGTGAAATAACACACATGGCTCATTGTGTGGCGTCTAAAGTATTACAGTAAGATATGTTCCTATTGGGATGCAGGTGGCGCTGTGGGTTAAACCACAGAGCCTAGGACTTGCCGATCAGAAGGTCAGCGGTTTGAATCCCCACGATGGGGTGAGCTCCCGTTGCTCGGTCCCAGCTCCTGCCAACCTAGCGGTTCGAAAGCACGTCAAATTGCAAGTAGATAAATAGGGAAGGAAAACGGCGATTCTGTGTGCTGCTCTGGTTCGCCAGAAGCAGCTTAGTCATGCTGGCCACATGACCCGGAAGCTGTACGCCGGCTCCCTCGGCCAATAAAGCGAGATGAGCGCCACAACCCCAGAGTCGTCCGTGACTGGACCTAACGGTCAGGGGTCCCTTTACCTTTTTATGTTCCTATTAGATATGCTTTAAAAAATGGCATCCAGTCGTGTTGCTTACATCACAAATGTATTTTCTGGGGAAATGCATTCAGAATGGAGAAAATTGTCCATAGATATTCATAGTATCAGAGTTGGAAAGGACCACAAGGGTCATCTTGTCTAACCTTCTGCAATGCAGGAATCTTTTTCCCAATGTGGGGCTCAAGCTCATGACCCCGAGATTAAGAGTCTCATGCTCTCCTCACATGTCTCCCCACTTCTGAGTTTAAATGGTCCAGGATTATTTTTGTCTCCATTTTTGAAACAAACTGATGTGATTCAGACGTACAATAAGGCATTAAAAGTGTCTATTTTAGGATAAAATGCATCATTTCATAATTTAGGTCTTCAGTTAAGGAGGTGTTTCAGAAGGGAGAGCCTTGATATTGATCCTGCAATGTGATTTAACTGGCCCATGTTTTAAACAATTGGGTTTTGTCGCTACTCTTGTTGATTTTTCTAGTTTTTTTAATTATTCTTTATTATAATTATATTCTTTTTAAATTTGTTATTTATTGTGAACTGCCCACGGTGGGTTATGTCCTGGTAAGCAGCATACATTTGGTACATATATAAATTTTATATAAATATTTAAAAATAGATATTTTGTGAAAAGATATGAACAAAAATAATGTGTGTTTCTGTGCTGGTTTAAAAATATAAATAATAATAATAATAATAATAATAATAATGTGAAAAGAGGACAGAATACACTTAATCTCAAAGTCACAGAGACTAGAAATACCTTGAAAATTAAATTGATATTTATTGAATTTTCAAAAAATAACAACAAAAATTTCCAAAAAAAAAATAAATTTAAGAATACAAAAAACAAAAATAGTACATAAACAAAAAAGAAAAGAAAACCCAGCCGCAAAGAGAAAAAAAAAGAGAAACAGAAAAACAAAAATATAAAGTCCTTTACAATCTCTATTGACTTCCTTTCTAGACTTCCTCCTCCTCCCTCTTTTGTTTCTTAATTTTTAATTTTTACAGCAAATCCTTTCTGTTTTTCATAACAATCTGTCATTACGTTTCCTTATTCTATTTTCCCTCTTGTCATATAAAAACTTTAAAATTCATAGCTTATATTCAATATTTACCAAATTCTTGCATCATTACCTTTTACGAATCATTTACCAATCCTTACTTAAGCCATGTAATTTCATTCAACATCCTTCAAACATTTGTAAGCATTCCCAATATTAAAAAATAAAAAGGAAAAAATAATAAGTCAAATTCAGTCCAGTCAGCTTCCAACCTCCCCTCCCCTGGACCCGGGATTGTCAGTCCTTTTAACCTCGATAGTCCGGCTCCTTAACCTGGTTGTCTCGTATCCGAGGCCCTCAAGTCTCTTTCTTGCCCCTTTCGCCACTCTTGTTGATGATTCCTTTCCAGTCGTGGATGCTCCAGCAAGAAAATGCTTTTGACCCTTTGCAGCAAGTCCATCCCAAACCCATTGCCCAAGCCAGACAGCAAATAATACCACTTCAAATTTCCACAAAGCTTGGAGACTTCGGCTACTCCAATCTTCTGATAGCCCATCACCAGACTCGGAAGGTCCAAATAACCATATGGAGGGGGGGTCAATCCATCCCCCCATTTCCAAATCTGACCACATGTCTTCTTTCCGAAGCTGGTTTGTCCTAAATTCATTTATCAAGTTCAAAGGCTGATCTTGCCCGTCCAAAGGTCCCTCCATCTCTGAAGCCTCCGTCACTACAGCAGGTTCATATGCTTGTATAGCCTTTAACTGAATTTCATTTGTTTGCTGCTGTGCTCTGGTAACTTCCATCCTCAAGGTCGTCTCCTGACGCATCTGGTCCAGCTGGGCACTTAGTTTTGAAAAACCTTCCAGGAACAATTGTTCAAGCCTTTGTACTAGCATTGTCCTTCAAGGTCAAAGAAAATTCTTTCCCACGAGAATAGTCCAATAGTCCTTCTCTTTTAATCTCTCTGCGTTGCAATTTCACTAAATTCCACTAGATGGAATTTTTTTTTTTAAAGGAATAAAAGCAACAGCAAGACTCTATCTGATTCCTGACACACTGTATCCACAATTCACCCGTCCAATTTCAAGAGGCAACAGTAGAATCAAAATGTTACCCTTCTTTTAACTAACTGTCGAGCTGGATAAACTTCAGAACGTCAATTCTGACAGCCCGCTCCTGGTTCAGGGCGGTGGAAAATTGCTTTATTTTAAACTCACTTCCGCAGGATTGAAAAGTCCAAATACAACCCCTTCTTCTCCTGCAGTCAAAGGGGGTTCAGAAATCTTAGATGTTGAATTCTAGTTCTCTTAGAATTTAATTTTCAAGCTTTAGTATATTTTGTCTTTGCTTTCTTCACATAACAAAAGAACGGAAGGCGACTTCCTGTTTAGACCTTCCCATTCCGAGTCCCAATTAAGTTCAATTTCAAGTCCAATATTATTTGTTTATTCACCAGTCTTAAAAGTGGTTCAACTCTTCCAAGATCAGGTACTCACGGATAGATATTTTAGATGCCAAATTGTCCAGGAAAAAGGCAGCGCTCTCCGATAACGGCAGTGCGGCTTTGCTGCACGGAGGAAGCAGACGACTCACAGCACCACGCACCTCCCACTCCGGAGCCCATTACCGGGCTCCTGTACAAGGGGAGAGAGCGCTCTCGGTGCCCGCCGAGTCCCACGTCCACAGGCTTCTTCCGCCTGTGGTTTTTTGCGGGTCCCCGCTGCGCCGTAGCGGCAGGACCCAAGCCTCCGTGCAGCGGGTTCCCTTCAGTCCGAAGGGAATTCCGCCATTTTCCGGAGGCGCCACCCCGGAAGTCTCAGAGACTAGAAATACCTTGATCTGACCTTGGTCACACTTCTCTTCGTTTAGATTATTATTATTATTTATTTAATTTATATGTATTTATAGATGTATTTTGAAACTTGTACTCTGTGAACCAAGAGCAATTCCCCACAGTCAAGCCTAACCTTCTCAAGTCAACTGTTCTCTCAAACAAATGTCATCATTAAAATGGGGTTACTTGGTCAAAGTTCCAGGTGAACTGGATCTCCATTTGAGGCCCTCTGGGTTCCTAAAAACAAATAAGTGTTTTACCATTGAGTAGAGTTTGTATCCATATTTAAACCTCCAAGGACCATCTACACCCCACCCATTCATATCTGTATTCTCCTTTTTTCCAAATTATTTTTATTACGGTAATTTTCCAAGCATGCGATCATTATCATTTCCTCACGTGGCCACATCATTTCTTATTTGGAGTCCAGTTGACACCCTTCACTTGCTGTTAAACCATTCTTCCAGCTGGCCACTTTTTTCACTTTACAAACAGCACCTCCATTACCCATTCATTTCTGTCTTAACGTATTAGGTGAACAAACACAAAAAAATGGTGAAAAGGTTGGCTTTGGTGAATTTAACTTCATTTAAATGTGCTGGGTGGGTTTTTATTTATTTCAGTGCTCCAAAGGGAAGATGCAAGAGTGCTCCATAAAAGAGAATTCATCTCAATTTTCTGTTGAAAGCATTTTGGAAGGGGAAAATTGATTCCCCTCGAATCCTCTGCATCTTTATTTGGTTCTGTTTCCATACAGACTATCCACCACAGCTGTCAGTCCTGTCTCCTGCTGTTTACTTATAAAATATTGAACAAGAAAAGAAATTTCAGATAATGCTTCAATAGGCTCATGCAGCACAAACTTCACAGACAGTTAAGTGGAGTTGCCAGGGTTCAATTAGTCATTATGCCAATTATGGCGTCCGTAATGGCTGAGATATGACCATCCTACAACTTGGAAT